GTTATAAGTGTATTATATTACTAATTGTAAAACAAATTGAATTGCAACCATAATTGAATCAGTATTTTGTGAACTTATTGATCTAGTGTTCGGAAGAGATTAGCTGTGAGACGAATACTGGTTGGTTCTCACCTAATTTATTTACTACATATTTTTACCTAAGGCACATATTTCTTTAGGTTTTCTTACAACTATATGTTGTCTCAGGTAATCTGGTTATCAGTTAATTATTTTCACACATTTCATTTCCTTGGATAGTTTGAACAAGACAAGAACAACCAGCTTTGCAGAATAAAATGTGCGCGTTCCATTTCATGGTTTTTCTTCAGCTTTAAGCAATCTAACGGCGCAATAGGGATGTACTTAGTTGTTATTTCTATCTCACTCAGCTCAGTCTATGTATTTGCCCACGTAATAGTACCTATTGTTACATTATTTCAAGTGTAAGTCGGAAGAGAATTGTAATGAGATCTACTCTCAATTAATTAAAACCGAAATTGGGATATCTTTTCTTGGCCTTGAAAGCATTCAACTTATGTTTTCCCCTTCTAGTGAATCTAGGTCACTTGTTTGTTTTAGAGGTGAGCAACACTACTCAAACATTCTCTTGCGGTGTCACGAAGACTTCACATTTCGTCAGCATTTCCGTCTAACAGCTCTTTGTCATCCACGTACTGTATGTGTATTTAGGGATCTGTAAAAAAGCCAATCTATGTAAAGTCAAATGAAAGGGAAGGTGCATTCATCAGCACGTCTGTGACGAATATGAATCAGAGTGAAGTGGTTGAGAATTTCTGACATGCATACAACCTATTTCATACCTCACCCTATTTTCTAACATGCCCATATGTTTTCACACTCAGCTTTCAAAACTATAAATAACCCACCTGGCAACCTCTTTCGTTAGAGGCACCGCCATAAGACCTGTCGATCGACGGGGTACAATAGGATATACCGAAGTTAGTAATTTAAATGTTTAAGTCTAAAGCTCCACACAAGAAACGAATTCGTGAGTCTACACTGGAAAATGCTGAAAAATGATATTTAAGGATAATCTGATTCATACAACGATATGGAAGCATTTTGTTGACCCGGTATCACTTTGGTCATCTAAATAATTGTCTCGTAGGTTTCGGTAGTGAAAATATTCATGAGTATTACCTTCTGGATGAGAATCATTTGTTTGTTTTGTTATACCATAGCTATTTTAATCTGGAACGATCTACTCGTTATTTTCATTTTCAGTTCCTAGATTTTTCTTTTAGAACATGGGCTTAAGTTACTTTTATGGTTGCGTATAACACAGTATGCAATCTTTATTAAACGGGTTGAATCTGAGTAAATGATATGCTGTAATATCATCCAGCTTCTTATAGTGGCAGAACACTTTTATTGCTTAAGTGATGAGCACTTTTTCTAGTACAAAACCTATTTGACGTGTACTGGTATAAAATGTCGTGGACCTCATAATCATGTACGGATTCTTGTCCTAGGGAATGTGACATACTTATTATGCGGCCAGTGTAACTCTATTTAGGTACCCAAACCTGCTTATGTGAGGCGCCGTTCACATTTGTAACTCATACTTTGGAAAGCAGCTGCTTATTGCAGTGAACCGTAGCTGTAAAAAGTAAGGACTGTAAGTATGCATTGGAAGGTATCAGTTTGATATACAAAATAAACTTTACTTGTTTAGCACTGACACTTTGTACCTCGGCATAAGAATATTGATAAACGACCTTTGCGAATGACATCAAGAAAAAATTGTTCTACAGCGCAAAGTGTTGTCAAACGTAATTATATCGTGGACGTTTCACCACCAGATGTATGGAAAAGATTAACTAAATAAAACAACGTAATTGCAACTCAACAACAAACATTGGAACCAGTCATCGAAACAGATAAGCAGAAGTGATGACACTCATCAACATAGCAATCTAAACTAACAACGGGAAAAGACGCAAGAAGTTGAACGCTAAACTACTCAAACTGTTGCAAGCAACACAAAAATTAAATGATGAATGGGTAATGAATCTTTCTATCTTTCTATCTACGATTCAGTATGATTTACTTCAACGGTGACTGAACTACAACACTGAAAATGCAAACCAATTAGATTTTTGTGCTCCTTTGGAGTTTACGTTTAAAACCTTTGAAGTAATTGTTAAGCAATAACAACAACTATGCCAATCAATTGTGCATGTAGTGAAAATCAAAGGAAATCAACACCACCTACTTAGCATACAAGAAACAAGTGCACTGAAATCGTTAGTGACCAACAAGAAAATTGCAGTATTACCTTCGGATAAAACAAAAAACAATACAGACTATTTCAAAAGGCACAAGAATTAATTAGTTAACTACAAAAGTGCTTATCAACCACGACTGAAATCCAACTAAACAGTCGGACAACCAGATCCAAAAAATGTAAGAATTTAGTAGAAGCTGACCAAATCACAAAAGAAGAAAAATGACGAATGAAGAAAACTGAACCAGTCTTATTGAGTTTTTACGGTTGATCCAAGATAGATAATCCATTACGACCAATAGTTTCACTACCTGGGACATCTTAATTCAATCTATCGAAAGAATTATGCAAAAAACTAAAGCACCTCGGAAATGGAAATAAACACTGCCAACTTGGCAAATGGATTTTTAGGCAAAATAAAAATTTTTAAAGTAGAATGAAGGATGATATCCTTTGATGTGACTTCACTCTTTACCCAAATTTAGCCAAGGAGACAATGGATATTATCCTATAGAACTACTAAAATCTTTCTGGTTATACAAAACACTATTCCCAACGTAATAGATTTGATCAATCTTTGCCTCACGGTCTACACACAGTTCAATGAGCAGATTCGCAGACAAACAGAAGGGATACCTATGTAATTGCCAATGGCTGGTTTGGTTGCTGAAGCAGTGATGCAGCAGCTAGAATTCATAGTCATCCGTTTCACTAAACGAAAAATTTGTAATCAGTACTTTAACAACACATCCGCAGTTCTCAAGAAGAATGAAATAAAAACACGGTCGAACTAATCGACTAAAAATTTATAGGGATTCTCGAAAAGAGTAGGAAATCAACAACGAAGTTTCGTCGATAAGTGCCCTCATCAACAGAAGACGCAACGGGATTTTGCAAACTCAAGTTTACAGAATAGCCACATACAGTGATCAGATTTTGCGATACAACAGCGATCATCTTACAGTCCGTAAAAAATGTTTTGTACAAGCATTATTTTTAAGAGACAAAACAAATTACAGCATCAAAGCAATACGAAAAGCAGAAGAGAAATACCCGTAAAAGTGTCCAAAGCCAATGATTATCCAACCAGTTTTATCAAAAAAATATTTATCAGCAGAAAAGAAGACAGCTCGATGACATCAAATCGAAGCATGTTATTTTATCCTACATCAAGGATATCTCAGAAATAGTCAACCGATTACTTCGTCCATTTGGAATTTCAGTGGAACAAAAACCAACGAAATTACTGCAGAGCAAGCTGAAGGGTCAGTCGCTGAAAGAGGATAGGTAAAGTATAATGTGCAAAATCAATCGCAAAGAATGTTTATAACTCTACATTAGCCAGTCTAGCCGTTGGACTACCCAAGGAGTTCATAAGTGATATAACCTCCTTGGTTGCAATGCACGCAGACAAACATGTTCAGAAATTTGACGGCGAATTTGGAAATCCCTCAATAGAGAGTAGGTTCTGAAGCTGAAACAGAATCTCTAGGATCATGGTATTTCATCGAAAAGTCAATCAACAAACGCTAGGAACAAAACAGCCATCCATCAGCCAAGTTCAAATTACCCAAACAAACCCAAGAAACCACTGTGTAACACTAACAAATAGCACAACCTCACTCTAAAAAAGATTCTCTACTAGCGTGATCGAATGAAGCGTATAATCAGAGAGCAAAATATGATACAAGTCTCTTCTCCAACTTACAATCGAACAATGCAACAAGAAGTATATATATATATATATATATATATATATATATATATATATATATATATATATATATATATATATATATATATATATATATATATGAAGTATTCGAAACTGCTTGCAGTATAACCGAATTGATAAGGGATGATATATAATCAGTCTGCCTTGCATACAGTACTAAAAACAAACAAATGCTGAGAATCTGCTTTTTTATTAAGACGACCAAACTGCATATTTTTGTGTTACCACACTTTTAACGTAACCACAATAACTTATCAGTTTGACTTCATAAAGCCAAATGAGATTTCCCGAAAACCTTTTATTTCGAATAATAAATTCTTTTTTTTGTATTAGAAATCTACCGTAGCAACAATTGAAAGATTATTTATCCTAGGAATATTTTAGTGACCCTAAAATTTCTAAGGTCTGTTCGTTATGAAAGTTCAAGGATCTTATCAGATAAGGCTTTTTTACAAGCTTAAATTTGCAGCTAACCAGGTTAAAGTGACTACCAGCAAGAAGTTTATCACACTTATTGTATAAAAACATGACACTGACTGATTCATTGGCTGTTGCTGTGAGTCCTGTAGGAAAGTATTGGCCATCTAGCTTAGGTTCTCGAAATAATACTACTAATCAGTTATTGATAACGTCAAATGACATTGTATGGAACTGAACACAACAGTTTGGATGTAGTCACTTTTTGTAGGTGGTAAACACTTTAAGTAGTGCTTGTTCATTTGTTTGCTCTCCCCTTATACGCTTTTTTTACCAACGTGGTTCTGTTTTCGCTGACTTCTTTCTTTACCGTTTCTAAGTGTAGAATCAACCATATAAATAAATTTTATGACACGAAGAACCATAAAAGTGAGTGTCTATGATTTGGTTTGCCACAGAAAATTTTAATGTTCATGTATTATGGTGACAACTACATTTTACACATGATGACTGTTAAATCATAGTTTCTTCTGCATTTTGTTGCATGCATTTCTCCAACTGATTTTCACCTTCTGGCTTACTTCTTATCTGTATTTACAGATCTGTGTTTGGTTATTGCAATCTGATGTACGCCAACCTGCTGATTGATTACGGATGCTTAATGTTGAATACAGACAAAACACGTAAAGCAGCAGAAATTTATCGGGTTCGTTTACAGTATATTTCACTTTCATAGCAATGGTCTCTTTATCTGTCTGTCTAGTTCTGATACATACATTTGCAGTTTGCAGGTATAACCATAGTTTTTCTCTCTCTTCGTTATTCTGTGCAGATAAATGTTTTTTTAAATACACCATAACATCCATGCCTGTAATAATAATTTATTTAAAAAAACGTTGCTTCGTAGTTCTTACAGATTCATTCAGTCGAACAGCACATAAACGGCTGTTGACTGAAGTCCAGTCGAGAAGCTCAGTCTCTGCCATACAGCTCACTGCTATGCCTAAACCAGTGGATGCAGGAGTCTCCAGGTACGCGTAAGGTGAATTTTGAAGAATAACTATTATGGCATGTCTCAGAGACACAGCATACATCTGTGTCTCGAGATTAGTGTTCTGGTAGGTAACGCCTACTGTCCGATTTGGTATAGACTCCGGACGTTAGAGGACCCAATGTGAAACCAACGGTGGGGTTTTAAGAGACTGGAATGGTGTTTCAATGGCTTCAACCATTGCCAATGGTTACAGAGTAAGGAATAGAGGAAATTATAACCTTATATTAGTATCAGAAGTTGATGGGAAAGGAAGAGACAAAGGCAAGGCAGATAGGTTATATTTGTTCGGATTTTGTATACTATTGGAGGCGTGCGGGCGGTTGAAACTTCCCGGCTACCTATACCATGGAAGTTGTTTCTACATGGTAGTTGAAAAAAAGAAATGATTTCTGTAACCTCAGAGCCCATAAATCATCTGATTGAGGCATGTCGCCCACTGCCTTTTGAGGATAATTAGTTTAAAATTTGGCTGTTCTAACGTCGGATGGGAAAAACACATACCGCAGGCACTGGAAGTCCGCAGGGGGAAGAGAAGTGTTTTGTTTTAGGAGTTAACCTTCTCTACTCTCCCCCTTCTCTTTAGAGGATGCAGCAATAGCGTATTACTGCTGGTCATATGCAGGAAACACTTTACTGCTTTCCCACTCCATCCAGCCAATAGTACGAATTCGCTCTTAGACCCCCATCATAGCGTAGCCATTCACATTATAACACTAATTTTTTTTAACTATCCAACTTACCTTTTTGCCATGGTTGGACCTCAAGAATCAGGCGTCTCAACCATTCTAGCTCTTTGGGTCATTGTGGATATACAAGCTGGACGATCGCGTCAAGTAGCACCTCTCGGTCGGGAAGGAGTAAACAACATGACAATGAATACCATCGGCCACTTGATCAGTGTAGCCTTTTATCCATTATATTTCTAAGTAACTTTAAACGTAAAAGCACTTACCATAGTATTCAAGGTTGAGAAGCTTTTATGCACCTTAACTCAAGTGATTTCATATAGTATATGTGTATCCACCACTTAATTTAATAAAACACTTTGAAGCTTAAATGATGTGCTTCTATATGTCTCCTAAGTACACTCAAACGTTCAGAGGTGGTTTTTGAAGTGGGTAAATCAGGTGCAGAAGCTGTAGGTGGTACTTTCGGAATCCCAGGTGAGCAGACAGCTAATGGCAATCGCCTATAACAACTATGTTTAGGCAGTCACCTTTTTCAGACTAATACAAATTTAAGGCGTGGCGTTTATCGATCTCAAATCAGTGATACATACGTCGTTATCGGTTATTACTGAAGACGGTCAGTGGATTTTTGTTATCACCTCTTTTAAGTGTGTGGGTAGTGACCATAAGCTGGTTTGAATGCGTGCATGTCTGCACCTAAAGAGACCTTGAAAAATTGCAACTAATAGACCGTTCTTAGCTCAGCTTAATGGGGATGACGCTTGGACTATTTTCAATCAGGGAGTAGCTAGACGGTTGTTGGAACGCAGGAAGAAGCCTGATACTATATGCAGCATGATTTAAACGCAGCGGTAAAGACCATGACTAACGCTCAGAAAGTTTGGAAAAATTTATCGGATCTCACTAGTTTTATTTAGGTTAATGGATATACGTGAAAGGAGTTTTACAGCTTTTGAGCATAATCACGAGTGTAGGTGGTTTTAATTCAGTGATAAAGAGTTTGCGCAACGACCAGGAGTAGTATTGGGCGGTCAAAGCTGAAGAGATGAAAAGCGCAGTGGTAAGAATCAATTCCGTAGAGACCTGACAACACTATATCAAATAACCAGGTCACTCTATCTGGGATGGAAGAGATCACCAGATGAAACTGATAAAAGATTGTGAAGGAAACCTAGTTATCGCCAAAGGGGAGAACCAAAGGAAACGATGGGCTTGACCACTTCAAAAAATAAAACTCTTGAATCGACCATCACCACCACCTGCAATTCATCCAGAAATACCACCAGCACCCCAGCCACAGAACTATCAGTGAACACAAGCCCTCCAACAAAAGCAGAAGTGAAGTCCTGAATGCTGAAAGCCGAGAAAGCAACGGGACCAGATGGAATTGTTCCAGAAGCACTAAAAACAGACACAGAGACAACAGCAGACATGCTCACACCACTATAACAGAAGGTTTGGAAGGAAGCAAGGAAAGGTACCTTCCGATTGGAACAAGGGCTACCTCGCCAAACTCCCAAAGAAGGGCGACCTAAATCTTTGCAAGAACTGGCGCGGAATCATGCTGCTCTCCACACCCAGCAAAATATTAAGCCGCATGCTGGAGAGACTAAAGAATGCTCTGGATTCAAAATTATGACCGGAACAGGCTGGCTGGCTTCAGGAAAAAAATCATGTGCCTATCAAATTGGAGCGCTACGCATTACCATAGAACACAGGACAGAATGGCAACTCTTTACCCGAACTGCATCTGTTTTGAAAATGCCTTCGATCGAGAAGTAATTTGGCAGTTGCTTCAACACTACGGGGTGCCACAAACCTTTATCAACCTCATTCAACAGCTATATGAAGACGCCACATGCCAAGTGATTCACATTGAAAAGCAGCTCAGTGATGTCTTTGAAGTGAAGACAGGAGTAAGACAAGGTTGGCGCCTACTATCACTGGTCATCTTCCTGATTGTGGTTGACTGGACAGGATCATGCAACAAACTGTGAGGGGCGAGAAGAGGCGCATACGCTGGTAGGACCGATGAAAAGATCCCAGAAGAAGATTTGGATTTCGCCACCGATGATGGTTTATGTCTGTCTAAGGTTGCACAAACTCGAAGATGTACATACGAAAACCATTAAGCTGGCAGAAGAGGCATGGCAGCGGAGACAGGACTTGCATCAGGTGAACTCAGAGAATATAGAGGTGGTGAAGATACCCAACTACAATAACAACAACAAGCACCGATCACCATGAACGGGAGAAATCTAAGAGGTGTTGTCTCTTTCACCTACCTAGACAGGCAGCGTCGTTTCAACTACAGGCGGCACAGGCACAGATGAGGATTTCGAAGCCAGAATCGGAAAGACAGCGACGCAGGTCTTTATTAATCTGATATCAGTGTGGAGATCTACTGCATTGCACTGCACTCAGCATAAAGCGTGAACAACACTTGGTTTTTCGTCACTAATGTCAGTCAAGTCAGTGCTTCTATTTGATAGTTAGGAGACTTGGCGCGTTACGAAAAGCATTTCCAACAAACAGCGGACATACACCAAAAGCTACCTGTACTTGATACTAAAGGTCAGATGGCCAGAATAATCGGAATAAGCAAGAAGGAAATCCCTCTGGCTGGCTGACTGGCAACGAACCAACCGAGAACCTATCGCCTATCAAATATGCAGAAGAAAGTGGAAACCGATTGGGCATACACTGAGAAGACCGTTTGGAGTTATCATGCGCCAGGTCAGGTCGTCGAGTGGAACTCGAATGGGAAACGGCGAGTTGGGCATCCGAAAGTGACATGGAGGAGATCGTGTGAAGAAGAAATGAAAGCTTCTGTTCAGTCGTGGACCAGGTTAGGATGACTGCAGAGAAGAGAGTGAAATGGTGATGTGCTACTGAAGCCATATGTTCAACTAGGAAACCAATGGACAAATAATAATGTTGTAATAAGAATCAATTCCAGACAATTGTGTAAAAGAGTAATGTAAAAAAGTTGATAGTGAGACTGTAGGTGGAAAATAAAGGCGTGCAATGTTGAAGGATAAACGACCAGAAAAATGCCAGAACATTTCAATGAACAGTTTGGTTTACCTGCAGCTACTCTTTTAGTTTTCCTCCGTGCAGTCACACATTGAATATAACACTGAGTCCGATTTCCTAATGAGAAATAAGTTTGAAACATAGGTATTTAAGGGCTGTGGCCAAGAATAACTGCCAGACAGACTTGGACCTTCGATGAAGCACGCCAATAAGACATTTGCTTTCAAGGTTGATTTCCCTAGTTTTCAACAAGGGAGAAGAATTCTCTTGTGATAATCTCAGGAAAATTAAATTGAGTAGCATACTCTTTGAGATTCTTAGTTCAGTAATCAACTGAAGAGGACCGACGAAATAATCCAACAAATTAGTGTCGTTTTGTCACGGTGTTTGTTCTTGCGCTTTGAACGTCTATAACAGATGTGTATCATGACTCCTCTTTTTTGGCAATTGTAGTTGCTGCTGTTTCCCTAATCATAGCTAGCAAATGATATCCAAATGAAATTAAGGGCCTTATTTAGTTGACATCTGTTTGTTAACCATTGGGTTAAGAGTTGGAACTGGCCTTATCTGTTTTTCACCTGTTAGAATTTCAGTTATTACACCATAGACATACCTCAGAAACCTTGGACGTAATCGATGAGAATATACTCCATTATTTTTATTGTGATTTCATTCTGTTTTCTGTTTTTCAGATTGCATTAGCTTTAATATTGAATTATTTACCCGGTGCTAGTATTATGGTTGCATTAGCGTTGGAAGCAATCGCCTATGCACATTATGTACTTGAATATACGTCAGGTGATTTTACGTATGCTTTAAATTGTGCTGAAATAGCCGGTCTGATGCTTCGTCGTTTAAATTATGGAGTTTGTATGCAGGCAGCTTCAGCTAATCGAGTTAAAGGTAATTTTATACACACTTTTTAAGAAGATAGTTTGAATAATCATTTTCAGCGTTTAATCTAGTGTTAGATGAAAAAGTACTGATATTTGAATTAACATTCTGTAATTCTTTAAGAAACCAAGGCCAACCAACTTATGGAAAAAGTAAGTTACGCGAATGCTTATGACAGAATTAGGGAGTTACAACGGTTCATCCATCGTATGATATGGTTGTGGGAAATAAATTCTGCTCAAAACATTAGTAAATAATCCTGTTTCACTGTGTGATGCATATGCAAAAACTATAATGGAATCATGCATTCACGTTTTTAGATTGAATAGTAGTAAAAATAGAAATGATCTCGATAACCATATGCAGGCTTGAACACTAAGTGACGAATCACACTTATCGTGTCCGACAGTTAAACAATCAACGAAGAACCTTGCACACAAGTCCATCGGTTCAAGTTGCCAAACTCCACAGTAACGTATAAAGAACAGGTGAATAGAAAGAAGGAGACTGACATCAAAGTAGATAAAGTAGTGTGAGAGAATTAACAATCTGAAGATAAAGTTAGTGAGAATCTTCAAGCATCAGAAGATGTCAGAGAGTGAATACATTGGCGCAACTGTGACCGATTCTCAGTCGTTTCACCAACAGTCTTCAACCACTGATTCCTATCGTCTCGGGGACCCCAAACCAGGCAATCTACATCACAAACCAGCAGTCAGAGACTTCATCGACTGGTGCCACGTCTTCGTCTGGCCATCCTGAACCCTCATCCAATCTAATCCAACTTCCCATACCGTGGTTCGTCGAGTTAGACAGTGACTCGGCATGTGCAATGCATGTGCAAACCACTGCAGTCGATAAAGGTTCACAACCTTATCAATCGACTTGCCTGTCTTGTCTATTAACGTTCGCCTAACCTCCACACTACTCACATGCTGATTCACCATACACAAGCAATGCTACGGAGACATGTGTGATCAAAACCCAGTAATCGCTTCGTGTCTCCTACTTTTAACGGCGATGTTTCACAGCTGTATAGCAGTGCAGAAGGAACTGTAACCCAATTGACTCACCCTGTGATAGATAGTCGGATATCTCATCAGCCAGGCCACAGGTGATCAAAGTTATCAAATGCCAAACGGGCCTCCTGTATCTGAGTTGAGATTTCATCAGAAACCAGACCACTCGGACTGACACCACTACTCCTCACTCAAGTAAGTCAAGTAGTCGACGCATTCCACCAGTTCATCCCTTATCCTTAAACTACCAGTCCTTGAAGACCACTTCTCGAACATCCTCTCACATTTCACAGGTGCCAGTGAAACACACATGCCAAACATTCTCAGACTTCTGCTCAACGCTTTCACAACACCCTGCATTGCTTCATCATCTTCACCAAGCAGCACAATATCGTCAGCATACTCCAAGTCAACCACATGCCCTCCAGGGAGTAGGTCAATCCCTGTGAACTCACACGTATTCAACATTATGTCTTTTAGTACATGCATCACGAAACTAAACATAAATGATGACTGTCAACATTCCCAGAGAACATCACTAGTTGTCGCAAATTCAGATGACAACTCTCCATGAGCCAGCCACTTACACGGCTGCGTGAGTTTCAGTGGAGAGCTTTGACTAGCGTTATATGCGTGCTCTGTACCTAAATACTGGCGCTATACGATTACGACTGGTGGTAAGACCTATGTGAGCCTAACTTGCTAACGAATCGACTTTGTAGCAAATGAGACTTTCAGCCGCCACAACAACAATACCACCGTCACGCGAAGACAGGAAGAGAAGACGGGTTGTTGATAGAAAGTTTTTTTCTCGCCAGCAGTCAATGCAGTTGAGGGCGATGCTGCATGTATGCATTTCTAAATAAGCTTGGCAACACTAAATCCACACATAGGTTATAATAGTTAACAATCAATGGGAGTTTTGCCTGGAAAGCAGAGGGGAGAAACACAGGCAACGTTTTGAAAACAGCCATAATAGGTTATTTTAAGGTCGTACGCAAATCATCAGGCAAAAGCCATACGAAATTGGGGATGCATAGCAAATACCTCACGGTTGACAGATTCGAATGTCACCTTCAGGTCAAGAAATATGCAAGAGTTGGCTGTCAGTAAATATGCTTGTGTCCCACAACCTGTCGCTGGGTAAAAATGTCGATATACCACATTTGTGCACTTCTGAATCCTGCCTAACTTTTTGAATTTTGCTGTTCTCGAGCTCCAGTAAGGTGTTGGATTACTATGGACCTTGGGATTTCGGACACGATATTAGTGAAACTGATCCGCCTATGATTGTCACAAAAAGTCTTCTGTCATTTCTTATTGATTAAAATCGTCAGTGAAGTAGACCAGTCTGGCGGCACTACCTCTAACTTCCACGAACTACTTAGTACCTCCGTTACTTTACCTATTAATTTCATGTTCGACACATCTTATTTGAAAGGAATTACTATTATGAAAACTAACAGAGTTCATCTGAACACTTTAAACAAAATACTATTATGCGGTTTTTTTTAACCATCAATCAGTGGGGAATAAATTTAACAACCATACTGTCTGTTTATTTTGAAATATAGATGAACTTTTGTAAAACAGTATCTCTCGCAACAATTCAATCAATATTTGAACCTTGAGTACAAATAGGCTGCCTTTCTAGACTATCTAACAACTAGTAAACGTTTTTATCAGTTCATGCTACAATGGAATCTTAGTATCACATCAAGAAGAGCTGTTATGATTACGGACGTTTGATTAATCCAAATATGTCCTGCTTTTGGGTAATTATTTCCCCAATCTTGTCTATGGATGTACTGTATCTTAAAATGTATGAGAAACTATCAATTTTCTAGTAACATCTATGTGTCTCAGGGTGTTTAAATGACACACAGTCCATTACTTACAATGAGCATCACATTTATTTTTTATATCATATTTCAGAAATAAGCATTTTGTTTTGATCATTCTAGCACTGATCATTGAAGAAATCGCTATTGACAATAACGATCCATCCAGGACTAGATCCGATTTAAAGTTAGCCCGTGACCTACATATGGAGTCTTTGGAACTCTGTGAACGGGTAGGTCTTAGTTATTATTTTGAATTCTAGAGTCGATTGATAACTCTTATTCTAATTGCGAACTACACGAATCCTAATAGCTGTTTTTTTCAAGTTTGAAATTAACTAAGGTAAAGCTTGTATCAATGTGCCTATCGTTGTGATAACTTACCAACAACTCAACAGTGTTACTCAGATATATATCTGTTCGCAGGTTGTTGCGAATTGTACGTCCCAAATTGACATTTTGTAAAAATAAGTAGTTTTTCAGCTGCTGTGATGTAAACAGGGCTTCTGTAAATCTACGCCAGGACTGTAAAATGAATGCTTTGTCGGAAATGTTGAACAGTAATATGCAGTATGTGAATAATTTCATCATCACATTTTGCATTATGCCATTCCCAACATGCAGTTGCTACCCTAACGTGATGGTCGGGCTTGTAAATCACAATGATTAGACGGCAATGCTCGTTGGAACAACTGTTCCTTGGGGTCTTGTTGAGGTTTGTTTGATAGCCGCAAGACCAAAACTAGCTACTGTCTTAGTGTAAGTCACCCACGCTATGGCCGTAATTCGACGACGAAATTGTACTGCTGACTGAACAAGGTGTAATCACAGTAAAGTGTTTCCTCCGGATGACCAGTGGTCATTTGCTGATGCCGCCTTCCTTATGGTAAGTAAGGTTGGCTCTAAAATCAACAAGCTTCTTTTTGCTCTACGGTCTTCCGATGTCGCTTATTTAGTTTCTTCTAGCCTGGACGTAACAATAAACTCGTAACCGAAATCTCCCCAAGTTTTGTTTGATCTACCTGAAGCAGATTTTGCTTTGCGGTCACTCAACGCTATCACTGATTCCATTTCCTTACCATTAACCTTCCTTGATATAGGCAGTTGGGACCTTTCAGCCTCCATCACATCTCTGTTAACTCTGAAGTAATTTCTCATTACTATCAACCTCCAATACCTTTGCCTTCTAATCTTTCTTCACATCTATCTGTTAATGGTTCCTGTTCATCTTTAGTTTCCTCCAGTCCTTCAGCCGTTGATAGTGATTCGGGTTCAGAAAATATCATCCCTTTTCTCCTGAAACCGGTCTTTAAACCACATATAGGAGCTTTCAATGTCCTCGACTTTCGTCAAATTAGACAATTAGCTTCGTTTTACCGAAACTGTAGTGTCTTGTTCCATAGGTGTATGTCATATTTGTGGGATGCAAATGCAAAAATCAGCCGTTAATTGAATATTAGATCGTTTATTTGATAAGGTACACAGTAACACAGTACAATTTACTGGATCACATTTCGAATAGAATTTATTCCTCATATTCATATCAAAGTATTCATAGGATTTTCAGAATTCCTGCACCTAGTCCAACAGTTGATTCATTTATTTTAATGATAGTAAAATAAATGAATGATCTGTTGGACTAGGTGCAGGAATTCTGAAAATCCTATGAATACTTTGATATGAATATGAGGAATAAATTCTATTCGAAATGTGATCCAGTAAATTGTACTGTGTTACTGTGTACCTTATCAAATAAACGATCTAATATTCAATTAACGGCTGATTTTTGCATTTGCATCTCACAAACAGCTCGACAATATGATTACTTTCAACGAAAATCCAAGTGATTGTCGGAACGGGATAACATCACTCATCCTTAAGAAGTTTCGCACCATTTCCATTCTACTGTAAAAGCAACGGTAAAAACCGTAACTGATCCTTCATAAAGTGGAAAACAGTACCAGTTGGTTTTAGCTAGTGTATCTGAATTAACATATGCGCATGAATTCATCCCTATGGGCTCTGAAAACAATGAGGAACGGAAGCAACTCAAACGTGAACTGAAAAAGGGTCTGCTTATTTAGACACCATGAGCACTTGTAAGTAGCCGAAGCTGAAGAGATTTCAAAGGAACCGGTGACAGGTAACAGTAGGCAGTTATCTAGAATTATGAGGAAAACAGCAGGAAAGGCGGTGATTAGTGTTATGGTAGTGGAGAATAATGAGTTTCCGATTTACTCGCAGGGGATACAACTGGAACGCTGAGTGGAAGTCTTTGAAGCACAGTTCAACCGGCCTCCAGTTGCTTTTTGTGTTCCATATATCCAACCGCATCTACAACGAAACATTGATACACAGTTTCTAACTCGCAGCAGTTGAGGAGACTTTAAATAATATGAAACACGAAAGCGCAATAGGCCTCGATAGGCGTCTGTCAGTATCATTGAGGGGGAGGGGTGGGTTACGGAGGTTTTGTTACCAGACTCACTCAAGTATCACCTGGCGCATGAAAACTAGGTATGATCCTCTCTGAAATATACCACTGATTGTCTCAGATTTCCTGCTAGGAGACTATTTCTTTTGTAATAGCTAAGGAGAGATAAGTTTGACGAACATAATGTTTGCAATTCTAGTTTCTGTGATCGTCAGACACCTAAGCAAAGTTGGCTACCACCAAACCTAGAAAAACAGACAGGTTTCAGACTTAGTTGTGGCTGTATGGATTAGATATTCACCCTATGTTCGATCGTGAAACACAAGCAAACCTACTGCCTCGTGACATTAGCTGCATTTTCCAACATGAAAGCTGCACTCAACTCTGTTGACCAAACGTTTTTGAGGCATAGTCTTTCACTGGAAAGAGGTGCCGAGTAAGAACACCACTATGTTGAAGGTTGTGTAGTAATACAAAAAGAAGTTACCTTTGCGGTGTAAATTACTACACCATAGTAGGGATATGAGGGCGAAGTCGCACTGTTGACAGGGCGGGTGTGGTAACAGTAAGGTATTTTCCCGAAACACCAGCCGTGCCACGCCAATGCTCCCTTCCATCTGGGAAGAGGGGTTGGAAAAGGTCGGCCCTGAAAATAACACTCTACACCATGCCGCACGGTCTCCCGGTGCCAGTGGTATGACTTCTTTGTCTATCTGGCGTTAGAACAACCAAACCTCAAAACAACAATCCGCAAAAGGTTGTGTGTGACGGGCCTCAAGCAGATATTCCTTGATCCTTGTGATCACACAAATATTTTTCTCTTTCAAGTACTTCAGGAAAACCTAGCCTTCCATAGTGTGGGCAGCCGGGAATTGTCAACCGCCCTCACTACTCTGTTAACGCTCAAGTTCCCGTAGACCACTATTCATCCCCTTCATTTTTACCTTCTTACCTTCCTTCATGTCTCTCCGTTAACAATCCTACATAATGCCTAATTTCTTCTAGCTCTGTAGCTTTCAACAACGATCTGAATTCACAGAACAGCATCCCTGGTTTCCCTAAACCACGCTCTAAAGTACACACTGGAGCCTTTAATGTCCGCATCCTCCGTCAAATTAGCCAACAAGCTTCATTGGATAAAACTCTTGCAACTCGAGCCATAAATGTGTACTGTGTTTGTAAGATGCATACAGGACCCAAGTGCGGTTATTCACCTGACCTCGCCGTGCCATTATTGTGAATCAACCAAACTGACCCTTCGATTTTCTGGAGATTCTTTAGTTAGTTCTCGTGGTCTTGCAGGTGTAGGCACAGCATTAAGCACTAGGGCGGAAAGCTCACTACTAGACTGGATCCCAGTTGACAGTTGCCTATGCGCTGTCCTACTCAACGGTACAGTGAGAACTTAAAGGAACAGTAAAACTCGCCGTTGTACTTTTGTTACCTCTGCTTACGTACCCACTGACTGTAATTCGGATGAAGTGAAAGATAAGTTCTACCGAAAACTGTCTAGCCTCCTTCTGAAGGCCAAACGTTCAGATGTGGTTGTTGTTGCAGGTGATTTTAATGCACAAGTGGGTAGGCCGAGTAAGGTAGAAACGCACTTTGGTGGCACTTTGGGAATCCCAGCCGAACGAAGAGATGACAGTGATCGTCTACTGCAAGTGTGCTTAGATAACCGTTTATTTCTGACTAGCTCAAACTTCAGACATAAGGAAAGACATTATCTGACCTGGCGTCAAACGAGCTCAACTTAGGTATCCGTCTCGACATCTGACTACATAAAGATTAACGTAATCACAGGAGAATTTTCGGTAAAACTAGAATATGCAGATGAAATAGTCCTGTCACGTGAAGACGCTGTCATGTTGCAGATTCTTCTAGAGACCTTAAATGTCGATTTTAGAATCTCTGGTATGCATTTCCTACCACCCGAACGCAAACTGTTTCTTTAGGACTGGTTTCCAACGGTGCTCTGGCTAACAATAGAGAGTGTAGTGATTGAGTGTGTCAACTACTTCACTTACCTGGGAAGTAGGATCAGCCCTGCCCTGGTGGCTCAGTGGCCGATGAAATCTCTGCACGGATACAAAAGGCCCGGCTGGGTTTTGCCAATTTATACCACCTATGGCGCCGCTGTGAAATCCGATTGTCGACTAAGAGTCGCGTGTACTGCACAGTAGTCCGATTTGTTCTACTGTTTGGCTGTGAAACATGGCCATTGAAGGTGGAAGACATGAGAAGGCTTCAAGTGTTTGACCACTGTTGCCTTCGTAGTATACGCCGTATTTCGTGGTGCCACCACGTGAGTAATGCAGAAGTCAGGCATATAGTTTTAGGGAGTGGAGGTAAATCAGTTGACGAGGTTATGAACCTCCATTGATTGAGACGGTTGGGACACGTATTACTCATACCTAGTCGTCGATTGCCTCGTCACTCAATGTTGTGGGAAGTAGGTCCAGACTAGAAAAAAGCTTGGGGTGGCCAGACTAAAATCTGAAACCAATTCATGAAATCTTTGACTGTTGGTTTGAGCCATGTAGGGTGAAGCAGACTAATTAATGGTTGGAGACTTTAGGTGATATAGCTAGGAACCGATCTCATTGGCTCAGGTGTATACACACATTATCCTCATGATTTTCTCATTCCCTGCTCCTCTATTTTAGTACTTTCTGCTTCTTTTGACCGATTTTTCTTCATCTTCCATTTCATTTCCGTGTTCCTTGATATGGTGATATTATGATGGGGATATGTCACTAACGTCACAGCAGCTTACATGCCATCTACCTTGTGGTAATCGTTGGACTGGTTGAAACAAGCAGTGGGTTTTTCAATGTACGACTTGGTGCTATGGAATAAAGCATTTTTCTAACTTGTTTGTCACTTGATTTTGCATATGAAATTCTTGAATGAAATCTGAAAGATCAGGTAACTTATCAAATGCAGACGTTATTCAATATAACTCAGGATCAAGTGACTGGTGACCATGTTTTTGGTTTCCTTTTGTGCAAAAAGTAGATGAATTACAGTGAAAGCCTTGACTTTACCCTGTTGCGCCAACTTTTTTTTCCCGTCTTTCCTTCACTCTTTCGCATCTTTTCGTCTTTTTCTTCGTAATACTTTTTGTGTGTCCATGAGGCATTCAGTGTGCACTTAATGAATGCAATATTCAGCAGCTTTAAGTCACTTAGCAGCCTTCTTACTAGCTGTTGAAATCCAAAAACTCAAAACCCACTCAGCAACCTTGTGCGCACTGATGCAGTAGGATATGAGCCACACCTATTGTGTGAATGCTGTCCAAAACTCGGTAGGTGGTCACAAGTCAACTCTCTAAAACATTTATGCCCATAGTATTATCATCTATGAACAACGTGATCTGGTTTATCACTATTTACTATTTAAACAGTCGATAACTTGTACAGGTTTTATTCACTGAAGAAGCGATTCCCATGAAGTTGCGAAACTTCAAAAGATTATTTTTCTACAAATATTTTTACAATTATATGTCATTTATAATTGACAGTCGAGTTTCTAGTCCACCGAGCCATATGTTTCGTGAATTAATAATGCTAGATATGTAATACACTATTATTCTAACCATAATATCTGGTCTGGTTCTTATTTATCGCCTAGGAATAGTCATAAACTATACGTGGCTATGATACCTTTGTAATTATGAATCCATACGCTTAGCGCTGCGCTTTTGATTAGATCTTGAATCGATGTTGCTTTTTCATTTCACTGGATTTTCAAAGCGAATTATTTTTCGCATACAGAGATTTGATTGCTTTCAGGTGAAAAACAACAATATTGTGGTTTTTATCTGACTTGATTCCATGGTTGATTATAATAAACCAACTATGCTAGTGAAAACACTGACATGTAAGCGTTCTCACCGCGCATACATGTATACCTATGCGAATTCATATTGTACTTTCCAGATAGCCAGTGGATTTTAAGTTGCTTTGGCATCTGGAGCATGTACTGTCTTCAGAATCTGTAGGGGATTCTGGGGAGATGTTTTCGATTTTTCGATAATATCAAAAATTTGTCATTTAAATATTGTGCTTTAAAGATATTGAGTGTTTGTTTTGTCATTCGTAAGTGTTCATTGACGTAAGTTGAATTCTTCTTTCACAGACGTATGGAATATGGAATATCCAGACTGCCAAGCATTTTGGTAATCTTGGTCGCTTATACCAGTCAATGCAAAATAATAAAGTAAGACGAAGAAATAGTTAATTTCCCCTTGAATTTTGTTGATTGTCCCCTGTGTGTATTTCCAATGTTTTAGCCAAAGCTGCATTCCTAAGCACATTTGCTGCATTTTTTCAACTCGGACAAAGTAGAAACCTATATTTACTGTCTATGCAATATTAAGCGATTCACCTGATTAACTTCAATTTCGATGAGGGTTGGAGGACGAACATCTACGTCCCATCCATGTTTGGGATGGATGTTCGGCAATCAAAGTGTTGCTTTGGCCAGATTGAACTGTTCTTCATCGTGTTCTGCCCAACGTTCTAGCCTCTTGTCTTGAGATGTTATCAGAGACGTATACTATTTGGTGATGGTCTTACTGACTGTCATCTTTTTAGCCACTATTCGTAATAGGCCGAAGTAATTGTGGATTATTACCTAATGCTGACGTTTTCTCCATCTCCTTCTCTCTCGCCACCCTTCATTACCCACCGTGACTGTCAAGACTCTTATTCACTTCGCATTTAACTTTTTTTCGGTCCTCATCGTGGGGAGTTGAGTTTGTAGTAACTTTTTGAGTATGTCGTCCTTGTTTGACACTGTATTTGTAATCTGGTAATGCATGAATCACATCTAATATTTATTTGTCTCAAGGTACTAGTATTACTATCAGTCTTTCCATACCAGTAATTTTCACCGTATTGTAACACTAGTTACGCAACAGTGATCAGTTGTTGTAGATTGACTTTGGGATATGGCCTCTTTTACCAAGTGAGGCGATACTTCAGTAAAGCATATTTTGTTTTGCAAGTACATTGCGTTGTGTAGTTTAGCTTGTAGCAGTTTTAAAGGTCACATTGCAAACTTGGTCGGTAGACCATACTCAGAAAGGAAACATGTGTAAACTAATCACTGTCACCATTTTCATAAAATTCTTCCTTTAATAAATATAAATAGAGTTCGAGTCTCAGTGGGAACTCCATCGCCCGTTGGGGTGTTGATACATCCAGCCAACACGTCCAAAACAGGATGACTGCTCTCTTCTGCTAGCCACAACCAAGTAAAAGAGCAAAAACTTTAATAGAACGGCATGAATCAATATTCTATATCGAATAGCTACCAATCTTTTAAGTCTCTGAGTCATATGATGACCATTTGTGGAGCTGCGGCTCATCGGTTTAGGCAGTTTACTGTCAATCAGTGAGTCAAGAGTTCATACTGCGCTCCACCTACCACCGAGCTTTGGGAAGCTAGGTAGTATCATAGGCTCTTACACAAAGTGTGACTCATTGCCTATTTCACGAATGTGCACAAGCCTTTTGATTCGATCCATTCTGTTCTGTCAGAACTATTGTTCTCATTCTATCTAAATTTAATAAACGAAGAAATTGTGTGAAATTTCTTAAGAAACGTGTTCCTGGCCAACCTTTTACATCACTAAATCATTTGGTGACCAGTCGATGCCGTATACCAATTCATGCTATTTTTTTAATTCTGTTGTCATCAGTTTATTAGTCGGATATCTCTGTTGTATTGTATACACTTGGTTAAGAGATATGAAACTCCCCGGTTTTGTATTGCTGCACATCGTTTACAAGGAATTTCAGATGTTCATCTGCAAAGTATTTGCCAGCGTAAGGGAATTACTCTTATTTTTTCAAATCTTATGTGCAAATGTCAGCTGTTTTGTGGAGCCGAATTCAGAGACAATAAAGCGACCAGTTAAATTGGTGATAACGCAGCGTTTTTAAGTTGTGTTAGCTGACTGAGGCAATCGGCAAGAAGCCCTGAACCTAGGTTTGCTGCCTTCTGACACTCTTTAGCAAGGGGTATCTGCAATCTCAACGAAACTGATGTCCCGCCTGAGATTCAAACCCGCGTCACCCAGGGCTACAGTCAGAGACGTTAGCGCAGAGCTATTCAGGCGTAACGTCTCTGACTGCAGCCCTGGATAACGAGGGTTTGAATATCGGACGGGACATCAGTTCCGTTGAGATTGCAGATACACCTTGCTAAAGAGCACCCGAAAGCAGGAAACCCAAGTCCGAGGCTTTCTGATGATCGCTCCCATCCAACTAACATCTATCAAAGTGCATTGTGATAAGTGAATCAACTAGCTTAGTGGCCACGTTGCAAAATGACCGATAGAATTAGATCCCCACGTAGGATCAGACAACATGAAGTCGGTTACTCTCAAATGACCAATCAATATTTTTCGGTTGTGCGTAATGAAAGAATATGCCTGATATTTGCTGAAATGTTGCAAATTGTTAACATCTATGCATTTTGAATTCAAATATTCCACGTTTAGTCTGTCGGAGTTATAATTCTATCGCATACAATCTTACCAATATGTTTATGTTGCAAAAAATGATTTTCGCTTCTATATTATCTTTAACGTTAGTGTCAGTTAGGTTATTTAACTTTAATGATCAACCTAGGAAGCATAACTGAAAGGTTCATTTCGTTATCAAGTGTAATTCAAAATACATGGAATCAAATAACTTGTTAACTGTCACCGTGTTTTTAAATTACTTGTCCTTTAATATCATGTAGTTATTGTTGAGCACGTTTGCAGTCAGTACATATGTGGAGGTTTGGCCGATTAGATTATGCATTTACTTTTCATGCAGTGGGTTGCCAGTTCAAACTCTGGTCAACTTGCTTCAGCCTGAACAACAAAGTTGTATGATAAACCTTCACAAGTTAAATGTTAGTCATAGGATGGTACATAAACTGCCGTTTGTCAGGTTTCACTTTTATTAACTCTTCGTATAATACAAGAATCAAATTAACATCGTTTAGTGGTAAAACCATAAATAATTCCTACTGTTAAATGAGTATCTCTCACTGAAAACAATAGCTTAGAGTAATGCGGGAACATCGAGAAAACTGAAACACTTCGTTCAACCATGCGGACATTCCATCAAGTCACCAACGGAATTCTCAGAAAAGACCAAAAGCATTAACATAGAAAACGACGAATTAATGGTATCGTTCGATGTCATAGCATTATACACATCCATTGAACCCCAATTCACCAAGGAAACAATGTCCCTCCTGCTCAATGAAGACATAAACCTTTCAGAACGCACAAAACTTAAATGTTCAAGTCTTATGGAACTCATCGACCTTTGTCTGACAACATACTTTCAGTTAAGCGCAAGATACACAAACAGATGAAAGGAACTTCAATGGGATCACCGATATCCGGATTAATTGCAGAAACAGTGATGCAGACACAGGAAGCCATCATCCTACCTGTGATCAAACCAAAAATCTGGATTTGCTATGTGGACGACACTTTTGTCATTATTAAAAAAGATGATATAGAAAACACTCACAGTTTGGTCAACAACGTGTTCAATGGAGAATAAGTCAAACAACCAACTACGATTCCTGGATGTTCTAGTCAGTAGGAAAAATGCCGGAAGCTGAAAACCCAGGTATACAGGAACCCAACACACATTGATCAAATCCTCAACTACAGTAGCAACAACGCACAAAATTAGTTGCATTTAGACTCTATTCAGAAGAGCGAGAATACACTGCAGCACAACAACTTCACGGAGAAACGAAGAAAATTACTCGATGTCCATCCCAAAGAAGAACGGCTACCCACGAAACTTTATCAGAAGATGCCTAACCCGTACATCATCAACTACAGTCATCGACAGATATCAATAAACGCATCATCCTACCATACATAAAGAATATATCAGAAATCACAACAGGATTACTGAGACCACTTGGAATTGGTGTGGCTCATAAACCAACAAATTTCCTCCAAACACCATTATGCAGACCAAAGAATGCAACAGTCTAATAAGATAAACCAAATCTCGTTTACAAAACCAACTACAATAACTGTAGTCAACAATACATTGGACAAAGTGGTCGCCCTCTTCGCCTTCGTCTATATGAAGATCAATTAACTGTTAAACGTCACGACACTTCATCACTCATTTCAATGCACATGGATGATTATGGAGATGAATTCAGGTTCAACAATGCAGAAATTTTGGACAGGAAGAGGATGCACAAAGAATATCAGAGAATTCCTAAAAGCTTGGCATTCACGTCAGTCATTCAGCAATCAGTAGATTCATGGACATAAACCAATGAGAAAGATGATAAACAACGGAAAGGTCAGAAGTCAAGCAGAGGGACAGCTAAAAGGAAAATCTATAAAGTTAATGACACAACAATCAAAGGAAACAACCAATCACAGACTACTTTGTCAGAGCAAGCTACTAAGTCATGAGGAGATACTGACATCTCACTTTGTACCGAAGTTAGTGCTGATGATTTCGTCTAGAAAGATGATGAAAGCTTCAGGATTAAACAACCCAGCTCAGGGAACACAATACAACCAAAATAGGAACATTGTTTATTAACTTTTTCGCTCTAGATTCTCATGGATATAAGAATTGGATATACCAATTAAAACTTATTTAAATAATTTAGAAAAAAGTCGCTTATACTCAGAAAAGAGGTGACACGTATTTTAAACCAATGATAGAGTAATTTTTTTGTCTTGAATAAAGTAAACCTTGACTGGACTTTCTGTCTACTAAATGGCACATCAAGAATTAAAAAATGGATCGTAGTGGCTTCTTGTCTATCAAACATAAGTATAATATAAGTAAGCGCATCGTGGAAGAGTGGAAACGGTATACTCGAATCACACGCGAGAAGTTAAATGGGTCCTTTCTGAGGAAAGTGGAAAGAAATGCAATTATCCTCTAAAATGTTGACGATTTGTGGCAGAGAAAACTGATGCTGATGGTTCAGTGTTTTCAGAACTTTGATGTTTTGTCAAGATTGGTAATATCCTCAACCTCAGATACAAAATATTGCCATCTTTTAAAAACAGTTAACTGAAAACCCCCGACTGTTATTCGTTCCACTTTCGAAAAGACGAAAAGTGAGAGAATTGACAGAAAAGTTAATGGAATGCTTTGAAAATGAACAGCTGTGCAGGTAAATTGGTCGCAGGTCAATATCTTATTCATCTCACCTCCGATTGTGTAGACAAGTTCGTGTACATTCACAGAAAAAACTCAGTGATAGTCTATAACCAAATATTCTGGACATTTTATAAGCTTATAGCTTAACACTTAAGTTAGAATTACCTTTATTCATTTGTCTGTTTGCGTCAATAATCACTGACATTTATCCTATTTACAGCAATACAATGAAAAGAAATCTACTTTCTGTCATGATCAATTCGTTTACAGTAAATAACTGAACTGTATATCTGTGAATATTTTCCTGCTGTTTCGCTAAATCCCATTAAAGGAGGATATATATATATATATATATATATATATAATATATATATAATATATAATATATATATATTTCAGCAGTAAATGTCAAATTAAAGTGTCTTAGACTCCAAAATAACTAGTTGGGTTTCATGTTGCATATTACTTTGTGTTTAGCACCGAATGATATTTTAAAAACAATGTATCCTTATGGTTATTGAATTATTATTATCTGTCCCTTGGGTTCCTAATGGAACATAGAGCTTCAGTAGCACGTCTCCAATGCTCTCTGTTCTCTAAAATCTTTTGAACCTGGCTCCATGACAGCCCACAAGCTCTCATTTCCTCCTCGCACGATCTCCTCCATGTCACACTCACCTTGGAAGCCTAACTCGTCGCTTCCCGTCGGGGTTCCACTCGAGGGGATGGCCTGACACGTGATCTCCCCAGTCGGCCTTCTCAGTGTATGCCCATTCCAATCCATCTCCACTTCCTTCTGCATATTTGTTCAGCGATAGGTTCTTGCTTCGTTGCCAGTCAGCCAGAGTTCCTTGTTGCTTATTCTTATTATTCTGGCCATCTCATCGATCTTCGGTAACGAGCCAACGTAGGTGGCAGTTGTTGATGAATGTCTGCAGTTTGCTGGAAATCCCTTTCGTAACACACCAAGTCTCTGAACCATCACATAGAAGCACTGACTTGACGTTGGTGTCGAAAATCCGGATGTTGTTCAAGCTTTATGCTGAGTGCAGTGCAGAAGATCTCCACACTGGTTTCAGGCTAGTGAAAGCCTGTCTTGCTGTGTTTCCGGTCCTGGCTTGATTTGACGTCCTCGTCTGTGACGCTGCCTGTAGTTGAAACAGTGCTGCCTAGATAGGTGAAGGAAGTTACTTCCTTTAAGTTTCTCCTGTTGATAGTGATTGGAGCTTGTTGTTGTTGTTGGTGGTGGTGGTGGTGGTGTTGGTTGGGTATCTTCATCAACTCTGTCATCTCTACGTTCACTTGAAGTCTCGTCTTCGCTGCCCTGCCTCTTCTGTCAACTTGTTAGCATCGCCTGTAGATCTTCGAGTTTGTGTGACATCAGACACAAGTCATCGGGGAAATCCAAGTTTTCTAGGATCCTCTCCCGGTCCAGCTTATCCCACTCTTTATTGCATGATCCAGTCGACCACGATCAGGGATATCATGGGTGATAGTAGGTGGCAGCCTTATTTCACTCCCTTCTTCACTTCAAAAGCATCACTGAGCTTCCCATTGTGAATTACTTGGCATGTGGCGTCTTCATATAGGTGTTGTTGAATGAGGCTGATAAAGGTTTGTGGTATTCCGTAGTATTGAAGCAACTGCCAAATTACTTCTCGGTCGACACTGTCAAAGGCCTTCTCAAAGTCGATGAAGTTGAGGTGATGTGTAGAGTTGACTGCCATTCTATACTCTGTTCTATGATGATGCGAAGCGTTTTAATTCGGTCCGCACATGATTTGTACTTCCTGAATCCAGTCAGCCTGCCTGTTCCGGTCGTAGTTTTGAATCCAGTGCATCCTTAAGCCTCTCCAGGATGATGCGGCCTAATATTTTGCTTGCTCTGGGTGGACAGGAGAGTGATTCCGCTCCAGTTCTTGCAAACACTGAGGTCTCCCTTCTTTGGCAGTTTGACAAGGTAACCCTTCTTCCAATCACTAGCCAGGTACCTTATCTTCCTTCCACACCTTCTTCAATAGTGGTGTGAGGATGTCCGCTACCGTTGTCTCTGTGTCTGCTCTCGGTGCTTCCGGTGGGATTCCGTCTGGTCCTGCTACTTTCCCACATTTCAGTAGCTTTACGGCATTCAGGACTTCCATTTTTGTTGGAGGATTTATGTTCACTTGTATGTAGTTCAGTGACTGTAGGTGGTATTTCTGGACGAAGTGCAGGTGGTGGTCGATTCAAGAGCTTCTTGAAGTGGTCGGCCCATTGTTTTCCAGCGAGGAATAAGTTTGTTTTTATTTTTTATATTTTGTTTGTGCTTTGAAGTTCCTTTAGCGGTTAGATTTGTTTTACGGGGTAGGGTTGTTAGCCCTATGCCCAACCTTCCCTCTTTACCCGGGCCCGGGCTTAGGACCGGCTAGTAACTAGTGAGCTAGTTAACCAGACGAGGTTTTGGTTATTGAATACAAGTAATATATTTTCTAGGCCGAAAACGCCTTTCAAGTGTTTTGATGTAGGTGACGGAGTTGGGATTTATCAAGTTATTGATAGCTTTTCTCACAAAGTGACACAAATTTTTTCCTTTTGGATTACTGAATGGAGCAAAGCTGTAACACCTTACAAGACGGAGCTGTAAACCTCTGAACTAATCGTTCAGTGAGTTATCCTGTTCGCGATCAGTATCACACTCCGCTAATACTTTCAAAGGGAAGATAAAAGTCTATCTAGTGCTCTTTATCTCTATATTTCTCTTCAGGAGATGTCCGTCCATGGTGAAAAATATTGATGAGTGCCGTACGGGCGTTCTCGCTAAATAATATCGATTGTTTTTCGGGTGATAGGATCATCGTGTTTGGGGACAAAAAAAATCTTTATTACTGTTTCAAACTATAAGCCTAAAATGTAATTCTAGATAGCTAGGCAAATAAATATAGATATTAAGCACAAATATTTATTCTATGCATCGTGTTTACTCCTACTCTCCTCCTAATCTGCTTTTCTGTACATAAATAGCATTCATAAGGTAGCACGTGGTTTCAATGGACTGTTAGTCTGTTTATCAGTTAATATGTGTACCGATAAAGGCTCATTATTTTGTTTACTATTGTTACGTTCTACGCGTGTTTGCACGTTTCATCTATTAACCACACACTAATACTACCTTAAGATGTTCATATTTTTACGACGTGTAAAATATGAAGTAGTTTATCGTAAGACTTTCGTAAACAACAAACAAATTCAAAGTTGTCTATTCTTAAATTTTTTTAAGAAATTGTGTTTAACTTGAAAGTTGGTGAACTTGTTTGGAGTGACACACGTGACATGTGAACGATAAAAAAACCTTATCTGTTGGATGTAATGCACTATTTAAAACCACTAATTTTTGTTGTATAATCAGTTGGTTTGCATTGACAAGCACATGTTACCATTATCTTACTATCTATCAATGTTTTTATTGATCAATATGTGTGTCTTCAGTTCAAGAGTTCTTAAGGTTATAGAAGGTGCAGTGATTAGATACCACATGTTACAACGGCACGCGCACCAGTTTTTCTTCATCTTTCAACTGGTCTTCGTTTTTCATGATGGAAACTAAAACAAAAGTTATTCGACCATCAACACCTTAGAAAGTATTGCTTTCTCCTCGTCTGTATTTGATATCTATTCAGTCTTATCATTTTAAAAGCTTTCTTCTATCATGCGGTTTTGTTTTTCTTCCTAATGAAGGAAGCAGAAATTATGCATTTAAGAGCTATTGAAATCAAAGAACGACTACTTGGACCAACAGATTTCGAAGTTGGTTTAAGTGTTGGCCATTTAGCTAGTCTATATAATTATGATATGGATCGTTTTAAAGAAGCTGAACAATTATATTTACGCTCCGTACAAATTAGTAAGTCACAGTTTCTCAAATATATTTATATTTTTTAAGGTAATTCATTTTATTCCAACATTCTTTCAAAGTTTTTTCTTCTATATTTTCCTCAGATTGTTGTATATATTCACTTTACTAGTTAATCTGCGTTAAGAAAATCGTCTTCAGTAAGTTGGGTACCACCAACATAGCACCTGCAATTACCATGTAACGGTTCCAAGCTGCCAAACTTCAAACCAGCAAATCTAGCTAGGAGTCACCAAGATAATGAGGCAAAAAGCAATCAAAATCAGCTATAAAACAACAACGAAATTTGATATAATGACAGACAAAAATAATGTGTGAATACATCTGTGACACTGAGATCGATTCTGATCCAAAACGCCAGTTTCGTTTGTTACGATGTCTTTAACCAGAAAGTTTACATTCTTCTACATCACTCAGACCAGCACCTAGAGATTTCATGAGCTGATACCATTATTTAGTCTGATCTTTCTTTCAGCCTAAACCCGCTTCAGCTGATATTATGCTACGAAGCGGATGGTGAATAAGTAACATGTGTTTCAGCCATCTGAATGGACGAAGTTTCACACACTCGTAAGCTGACTCATATCTGTTGTCTAAACCTCTATGGCTGACTTCTGCGTTGCTAATATGGTGACGCCACAACATATAGCCTATGCCACGAAGGCAACGGTGGTCGAACAGTTGATATCTCCTCATATCTTCTACCTTTAATATCCATATTTCACGGCCACATAATAGAAGAGATCGGACCTTTTGTATCCCTTTCAGAGATTTCAGCGACTATTTAACCTACGTGGGTTGATTCGACTTCTCAGGTAAGTGAGGGGGTCAACACCCTCCCTGTTGCTAAACAATGCGCCAATGAATATCAGTTCTAGAGCAGCAATTCACATTTGGCTGATGAGAAATGCATCTCTAACATTCGTCAAATGCCATTGAAGTTGTCCAGAAGACTACATCTTGCCAAGGGATTCACCTAACAGGACTGTGTCATATGCTCACTCTATATCTACCAAGGATTCTCTTATGATAAGATCTATCGCTGTGAAGTCAGAAGACCTCCATAAGTACGTTCACGATAGATTTGAATAAGAATGGAGAGAGTGAGCATCGTTGACGGAAACAACTCACCTGATAAATCACGGGTGTTCGAGTACAGAGACTTTAAGTGTTGCACTTACCTGACACCCCTTACAGAGAGACACTGTCATAAGACTTCTTGATTGACAGACTTTAATGCTGTCTGTAGGTCAAGAAATGCAGTTAGTGATCATGGTGAGTCATTTTTCAGTCTAATCGGTCCGAATTAACACTGAACGTTGATATGATTTGGTAAGTCCCAATTACCTCGTTTAGTTTGACTTAACAATCTTGTTTCTTGATTTGCATTTGTTGACGAATATCTCTACACACAACTGGGCCTTGTGTTTACTTTTACTTTGTTTTACAGTAAGAAGCGGTGTAATTGTATTCATTAATCATTAAACTTTGAAAAATCACAATGATCTTGAGGAGTTAATGGCTTCAGAATTCTTGCCACAGATGCAAAAATCATGTTTTCAATTTCTTATCTTGTTAACATTTGTGTTGCTTATGAAGTACTTGACCGCCTGTCAAAGACGTATCATGCTTTAATAGTCCTTTCCGTTATGGCCATCAAAGCTGTTCATTAAGGGTACCAAACATACTGATCTTATAATCAATAAATCGCCAACGCCTTGTAACCACATGCATTCACAAGCTCAATATTCAGTTTTGCTCTTGATGTCATATGCATTTGAGTAAATCAAAGAAAACCGTTATATTGTTTCTGTGTCAAATGACCATGTTCTGAAAGTTGACATGAATAGATAAAAAGCATTCTGACATATCAGCAGCGCTCCTTTTTATTCTGGGTGATTTAAATATCAGGCAGCCGTTCCGCTCCTACTAAGCTGAGCTTGTTATCGGTGCACACAGACAAATTCAACTGAACAAGATATATCGTTCAATCCATCTAAAAAGTGTCAAAATAGTTGGACGTACTTGTCGTACTGAGATTCGGGACAAGTACATACAGGATCCACAGTTCATGATGAGCACTACACAACCAGGTGTAACTCAAATTTGAGATTTCTTTTGAACACCACACCAACTTGATTAACAAGTATCACTGATTTTCGGTCACAGTTATTTTTCGACCATGCATTCCAGTCAGTTCACTTCTACTCCTTGATTCTTCAGTGACATTTCGGTGTCGAGCAGACCACAGTTTGTCATCGTGTGCCTTTGATTTCCAGAGGGAAACCATGATTGATCTTCGAATTGGGTTATAGACTATTGAGTCAATGTCACCAGAGAGTGAGAATCCTGCAAACACCCCTTTTGACTTTTAAACTAATGGGGGAAGCTATCAGTAACTATAATACGTCACCAACTCAGCAGATGTTGAAGTAACTGGTCGATTTTGCATCTAGCCTTTCCAGTCATGCGTTTTATCTATTAGTTCCTATCCGTATACCACAGTTCATATTTTATGGTGCTTCACTGAATTTGTCACCATAGGATTCATCGTATAACAATTTTTCCCAATTATTTCAACAGTTACGTGAAAAGAAGTTGGCATATTTCAATTTTTTGTGCACATTTGTTGTTCAACTCTTACATAATGAGAATAAAATTTCCAATTTGTTACTTAATTTTTAGGTCTGAATTTATTCGGTCCTACGTACAGTGGCCTAGAGTACGACTATCGTGGTTTACAGCGTGTCTACCATGAATTAGGCAATTATACAGAAATGCAACGTTACCAAGGTTTATATGAATATTGGTCTAAAGAAAGACAACGTCTTCGTTCTTTAGAACCTACTGAAGCATCTGATTCTCTTGATTTCTGCGATGAATGTAATATGGGTTCGACAGAACATTCACGAGTATTAATGGAATTGTTAAAAGACTACAAATACCAGTTTAAATCAATTTTTGAAGGTCTACGCACAGTTTGTGAAATAGAACAAGAAGTGAATACAACAAGACGAGATGCATTTAACGTGACTTTTTCTGGTGGTAGTTTAGAGGCTAGTCGGTCAACAGGATACTAATAATGTAGATTCTTTTCATATTCCCCCAAAAAAAGGAATGCGTATTTTGATTTTGCATCCAGACATTATTTCTTACCATTTTCAAAACTGTGTTCTTTATGCTTTCATTGGTGATTAAAAATATCCTAGTAACTTTCGAAGCAGCTGTATTAATAATTATGCCCAAGGCATCTCATAAGACTCTACTAAAAAAAAAGAGACGAAACAACTGTAAAGGGGAAAATATTTCTTGTAGTATTCAGTACTTCACACTTGTACATATGATCTAAATAACTAACATAACATTTTTTCTTTGAAACTTTTTGTTTACTAGTAGTGTAAAACCACCGATAATATGTTTGTGAAAGCATATGCTCACTTAACACGTGTGTTTGACGTACTAATAAGTTATATAAAAGGAGTGATAAAATCTGAATGTAAACTTTGACGAAAAAACTAATTGAATGGAGATTATAGCTTATAATTTCATCTGTGTCTATCACAACACCATGTCTGTCAGCTTAGGACATTTCCATGAGTGAAATAATTTCTAAACACGTAAACCGATGGTTGCAAGAGAAACATACTTTTGATGAAATCATTTTTCAAGCTACGCATTCCTCAATGTATAGTGTTGAAGTTGGGACTTATTAAATGAATTTTTCCTAACCCAAAAATGAGCAGGGATAATTAACTATGATAGATTAAAAAACAGAACGAAGGCAAAACAGTGATTTAGACAAAAAAATATCTACAGAAAGCGATTATATCCTAATATACACCTAGACTTTGGGTCCAATCGAATGTTCAGGTAATCGGACCAAAAGTCCAACCATTCAGTCATGGAATTTGGATATAAAAATGAAACACAAGATAAACTCTATCTCTCGAAAACTTATGTTTATTTAAAAATGTATTAGAACCCTTGAAGAAAACGAAAAGTAGTGATTATAACGTGACTGCGAACGAATTGGAGGTCTCTTAGTGTTGTCTTATAAGGAATGAAAATCAGGACGCATGTAGGATACTCAATAAAACTGGGACTAAGGTCCCATTCAAATGTACAAACTCAGTAGAAGTTTTTCCGCTTGAGAATTTGATTTATTCAGCAATAAAGCAATTTAACCTACCAAATCCCGTGTCATGACTGAGGAGTTCATGTAGAAACGTCAAACTATCCGGTTGGGTCAGTCAGACAAGCAGAACATAAAAACAACTAAATGTCGAATGTTAGATCCCACTAAGATGAGTTATCCACATGGGGATTTAGCTATTACTGTTTATTCAATAATGCACAGTTAGGTTGGACAGCGTAGCAGTCTTAAAGAGTAGTCGTTAATATACCCTAATTTTGCCTGATATTTGCCTTAAAGTAACTGTTATTGCTGTCTTCGTCCTCTCTTGGCACCATTACTAGCTTTTGTTTTTCCCATGGCTTCTGAAAGCTAAGTCTTTTAAACTTATCAGTGAATTTAATTGATTAAGCCCGTTTTGAATATATGTATTCAGCATCGCTCTCGACCGTTGAGACTGTAAAAGCTCTCTGTCAACGGTCCGTCTTCGCGTGCCGTTGGTATTGTTGTTGCGATGGTTGACGTTCTGATTAGTGATTAGAGTAAATTCTTTTGCACGTTAGATTCGTACAGCTCGTAGGCTGCTAAGTCGTATTATCAGTCATCGCAGTGATGTAGTTAGGTTGAGGGATAGGTGTATCACTGAATCTTTACTCATCAAGTCACTACTTAATAAATGCAAAAGGAATGACGCGTCAGCGATTCTAGAGATATGGAAAATTCTACTGCTAATAAAATCAGGAAAGGAAAAGCAGTAAAACTATGAAATTTAAGTCATGAATTCATATAGGATTACAAACAGTGAATTGTACTCGAAATGTTACCTAGTAAATAGTGCTGTATCACTGTGTGCATTATCAAACAAACTAATTTAAAGTGGAACTATACTCTGCCACGATGTTCAAGTTTTATACTTCCTAAACTACTTTCATATACTTAACCGTTAATAGACACTATCGTATGATCTATCACAGTGTCTTGATGAGCAGGAATGTCTTCTTCACAATGGAGGGATTTGTAGGTGAAACAAAGTTTCTTTACTCTTATAACTTCTCTATATCTGTGTTGACCACCAATCTTGAATAGGTCTAGTAGTGAGTGGACAGGAACTGCGATGTATACATCTTCACTTTCACAAAATAATGTTTTAACTCATCATGCTTTTTCATCGTCAAGGATAAGCCTGGCATCACCTACATTCTACTGTATAAGCCACGATTAAGTCGTAAGTGATTCTTCAGAAAGCTTCAGTTGGTTTCAGAAGCCTCTTCTGAATTAATAAATGCACCTTGATGCCTACGTCAAGGACCCGAAGACAGTGAGTGATGGAAGCAACTCACATATGGAGCGATGGGGAGTTTACACAATAACCCTTAACGGTGATGAACAGGATAGGCCGAAGAAATGGAAAATGAGTCAGTGGTAGGTGGCCCAACAGACAGTCATCTAGACTGATCAATAAAATTGAGGCAAGAAAGTCAATGGCTAATGAGGCGAGAATGGAGAAGAATAGGTTGTGTTTACTCTCAGGGAAGATTAGTGAAACACTTTGATGAACAGCTCATTCGGCCTCTAGCTAGTCTTCGTTTGCCCATCATCCAGTTGGATTCTGAATGGATACTGATATAGGCCATCCAAAGACTGCATTGGTCTACTTTGGTTGTATTGCGAATTCGATGCACAAGGCCTATATGGTTCCAACCAGCAGTCAATGACCTGTGTTCTGAAATACCTACGAATAATTAGAAACTTTTCCAAAATATCCTCCAATACGAAAACCTCCCACTCCATTGCTACAAAATGCCTAACCTCGTCAACCATAATCTGGAGCAATTTAACGAAATTATTAGTCCTCACTAAGATCAAGAACGAGTAATCCTGTTTGGAAGCTGATTACAGGCTTGTTTTAAAACAATCATGTACAATGGCAATTTCATACTGAGAATTGAATCTTCGTGTTCATAAGCTTTCAAACTCACATCATGACACTAATGAAGAAAGTATCACTTAGATTCATGAATAAACAAAGTGATTTTTTAAAAGTCTAATTTCACCATCATCGTTCACTATGATAGTCCTTGTAAAACGATAATATTATGGCTACCCATGGAATGAAAAGTTAGTAACTCATATAAGTATGAGTATGCATACTTGGATTATTATGTTAATGTGAAGAGACCTATTTCATACTGAAAGAATCAAAAGACAGGTATGCACAGAAGAATGTTAGTTGTCAACATGTGGGACAGTAGTCCTTAAATATGGTACACCCTGCACTAAAACCGTCATTTGCAAAATATGCTTCATTTCCTCTTCCGCTTCTTTTTTAGTTTGCTCTTCATACGCCTGTCTTGTCTTTTTTGTTTCTCTTGTCGGAATCCTTACCCATTGCTAGTAATCCCCTACGATTTCTGCCGCCCCCTCAACACATACTACTTATATCCATTCTTATCAGCAATGCCCACTACAATACTATTGCTGTATAGCTCTGCTTCTTAGCTTCTTCTTGACCCTCATATTCATGTTCTTGCAATTTGCTACTCACAAATAACTGCTGTTAATTGAAGTACATAATTTTTTTATTCTGTTGATGTAATAATGTATTTCTTCTTCAAGGTGGCTTTCTCTATCTAAATTATGGTTCGTTGCCAGTTTGCACTTCGTATGTTAATATGCTTGAGTCAGACCAGTAACCGCCTTAAAGGCTTCGATCAACAGTCTTATCTGACGTGAAAGTGCAAGTAGAAATCAGTAAATAGTCAGTTTTGTGGCGAAGTTTGAATCGTTTGCCGAATTTGAAGCAGATTCAGAACAATGACGTCACCTGCAGTAATATTACATAAAAAAATAAAGTAGTTATACCTGAATAAGAGATTTTGATTATAACCTTTTATATGGTAGTTTGCTGATGACAAAAATTTTCATAACTAGATTACGTATTTCTTTCAGTTGAATTAGAAATTCAGTATTGTGATAGTGATTTCACAACGTTTATACTGCCTCCGAAAGTATTCAACTTACATTTTTAGTTATCCAGTTGATCTACACTCATGCAAGACAGATTTATCAGCTATATAAACTTTTGAATGCATGTCTGAAACTAATTTGAACATCTTGGAATTATTTTCAACTATGGATAACTCTTTGTTTCATTCTGTAGCTTATCGGTTTCTGTCGTTGTTACATAGGCGGCAGTTAGTGAATTTGGGTTTCACTATGATATATGGTGCTGGATTAAAAAAAACTACTACCGGAACAGGCAGGCTGACTGGATTCAGGAAGTACAAATCATGTGCGGACCGAATTTCAACGCTTCGCATCATCATAGAACAGAGTATAGAATGGAAGTCAACTCTACACCTCACCTCAACTTCATCGACTTTGAGAAGGCCTTTGACAGTGTCGACCGAGAGGTAATTTGGCAGTTGCTTCAATACTACGGAATACCACAAACCTTTATCAGTCTCATTCAACAACACCTATATGAAGACGCCACATACCAAGTAATTCACAATGGGAAGCTCAGTGATGCTTTTGAAGTGAAGAAGGGAGTGAAATAAGGCTGCCACCTACTATCACCCATGATATCCCTGATTGTGGTCAACTGGATCATGCAACAAACAGTGGGATAAGTTGAACCGGGGAGAGGATCCTAGAAAACTTGGATTTCCCTAATGACTTGTGTCTGATGTCACACAAACTCGAAGATCTACAGGCGATGCTAACAAGTTGACAGAAGAGGCAGGGCAGCGAAGACGAGACTTCAAGTGAACGTAGAGATGACAGAGTTGATGAAGATACCCAACCAACAACAACAAGCTCCAATCACTATCAACAGGAGAAACTTAAAGTAACCTCCTTCACCTATCTAGGCAGCACTGTCTCAACTACAGGTGGCGTCACAGACGAGGACGTCAAATCAAGCCAGGATCGGAAACACAGCAAGACAGGCTTTCATTAGCCTGAAACCAGTGTGGAGATCTTCTGCACTGCACTCAGCATAAAGCTTGAACAACATCCGGATTTTCGACACCAACGTCAAGTCAGTGCTTCTATGTGATGGTTCAGAGACTTGGTGTGTTACGAAAGACATTTCCAGCAAACTACAGACATTCATCAACATCTGCCACCTACGCTGGCTCGTTACTGAAGATCGATGAGATGGCCAGAATAATAAGAATAAGCAACAAGGAACTCTGGCTGACTGGCAACGAACCAATGAAGCAAGAACCTATCGCTGA